GATGGTTTCCTCTAACTTTTTTTCCCCCACGCAAACCCAAATCATCCTGGCTGTTCTGAGTCCTAATTCTGGTTATATTTTCATCCTTGAATGAAAGCTACTGTATACGGAGACACTGCTGTGTAGGAAAGCCAGGCCTCCAAGAAAAGAACGAACGAATACTTGGGTTTTGGGGGGGAGGGGGTTTGAGTCGGAGTCTCACTCTGTCGCCCAGACTGGAGTGCAGTGGCGGCTCCAGGCCACCGCAGCCTCGACCTGCTGGGCTCCGGCGATCGTTCCGCCTCAGCCTTCCGAGTAGCCGGAATTACAGGCATGCGCTACCACGCCCGGCTGATTTTTTGATTTATTGTAGAGATGAGGTCTCGCTGCCCAGGCAGGTCTCGAACCCGCGGGCTCAGGCAATCCGCTCACCTCGGCCTCCCAAAGGCGCGGGATTACAGGCTGAGCCACCAAGCCCGACCGACCGAATACTTGTTATCACATATGGTATCAAAGGAAAGCAAAGCCCCGGTCCGTGTAGGACCAAAGAGATTTGCTTTTCTGCTTCCTGTTTGAGTCACATTGTTGCTCATTTGCAAAAGTCCTTTCACTTGTAAAGTTAACCACCCATTAGCGAGTAAGAACTGTGCCCACTAATTGAGGGACTCCCTGGTAAGCAACATTGTTAGAGGCTAGAGTAATGGACCAGGTGCCCTTGACTTCTATTTCTGAAACCTTCTCTTGCTTGCTGTGTGGCCTTAGGCAGTTTTCCTTCATTTCTCCGGGCTTCCTTTTCTCCAAGAGGAAAATTTCCCACTCACTTTTCTCGGGGAATGCTGAAAGATCAAGGAGCCGAAGTTTACAGAGCTTTTAAAAGCTGCCTAGATGAAGTGCATTAGAAAAGCCTTGATTAAATAGGTGTTCATTAATAAATTTTTCGATTATTGATAGAACCGTGTATGTTAGCATTTAGCTGGATCCTTGGGCACCAGTGGACGCCAAATCCTAAGCTGGCTCATCTCGATGATGATGATGGCTGCCGGCTGTGTCTTTGTGCAGAGTGACAAGGCGTGGTGACGTCTTTACGTGGTTTTTGCATGGTGGCAGATTCTCACCAGCCCCAGCAGGGGGGAGCGGTGGGGAGCTCCCCGGGGTGGCGCAGAGCATCAGGGGCTGCCCGAAACCACAGGGTCAGAGCCCACCGGACCCTGTTTACAGAAGGGAGGAGGCAGGATGGAGTGTCCTGTATGCAGATGTGCTTATGTGTCTCCACCAGCCTCGGAGCGGAGTGTTTCGCAGGCCGGGCTCTAAGCTACTGGGGACAAGGGCCCGTGGGCAGAGACGTGCCAGACCCCCACGATGACCAGGATGGCTTTACAGTGAGAGGCAGCCCCTTCATCTTCCTGCTCCCCTCTTTCCCCCCTCCCCCGTCTAGTGGGGTGAGAAGGATCAGGCCTGTGTTCTCATGTTCACACCTCCTCATCTGTCCTGGGACCCTCCCCACTCCTGTACCTGGCTCCCACCCTCCCTTCCCGGGGTCGCACTTGCAAGACAAAGAAAAAGAAAAGAAATCCATGCTTCAAGCAGATGTCAGGGGCAATCCATTGTTCTGCACCCTGTAACAAAAATCTCTGCCGACAGCCCATGGTCCCGGGGAGAGGCCCAGGATTCAGGACCCCGGGGTTCACGGCCCAGGGCAGAGGCGGGAGGCAGGGCCTTCCCACGGGCGACTGCATCGGCGGCGGCCAATGGAGGGCCCGCGGCAGGGTCCAGATGGTTTTTGTTTGGGACCTTTGGCAGACGCGGGGCTCTCCACACCAAACAGCATCAGGGAGTACTTACAGCCGAGGCTCGGTTTGTGCTTTACTTTGCATGGAAAGGAGGGCAGAGGAGTTGCCAGGGAACCCAGCCCTCTGAGCACTCTGCTCTGGGCTTCTTCGGCAGGTGGGGAGGGGCTTCCCTCAAAAGGCACAAGGGGGTTTTCTGGAGCGCGCTCACACCTGGTTCTGCTTTCTTTCCTACTCTTGGAAAGCTTGCGGAGGCCCCCCCTCCTGGGCCTGCCCATCAGACTCAGGGTGGGCACCTTACCCCACAGAGCCTGCCAGCACCAGGACGAGCTACGTCATGGGTGGGCCCCACTGCGAAATGGAAACGCAGAGCCCCTTGATCCAGACGTATTGAGGACGTCAAGACAGCAACAGCAGAGCGTGAAACCGATCCCAGGGCCCTTTCTGAGCAAGGAACCCTCGGGTCACATGCCCATGAGACTTGTCCCGCCCAAGGTCCCACTTTGCCTGGGCAAGGTGGGTGCAGGAGGGGGCTGAGGGACGCTCACAGGGTCCAGCCATCTACCACCCACATTCCTTTCTTCAGAGGAAAGGAAAGAGAGAGGGAGAAAAGCAGGGAATCATTCTTCATGCGTAAAGATTTCCAGTGCACAATAACCTAATTTTATTTTATTTTTCACCCCAAAGTTAGGGCTTAAGCTAGGAATTCTAAGAAAAGAATGATTCTGGTTGTTCTGGGGTTAATCTCTTTTATTTGCCTGGATTTGGGAGAAGCAAGAACAACTAGGAATCATAGTAAGAGCCAAGTTCACTGAGCGCTTACTTTGTGCCGAGACTTTGCTGAGATCTGTTGCAGCTAAGATCTACTTTAGAGGAGCTGTGACTGCCATTTAACAGATGGGAAAACTGAGGCCAAAGGAAACCTTGCAAGATGTCCGGCAACTTGGAAGTAAGCTAGCCTGGATACAAACAGATGCAATCAGACCACAAAGCCTGCATTCCTGACCGTTTTGCTGTGTGGACTACTCCCCAGTTTGCTCCCAGCTTATGAGACCAGTGTCATGGGACCTGTTGCCTGTGGTGTTTTTGTGGCTGTGTTCTAAGTTCAGGTGAAATGTCTCTAGATACCCACCAGCTGGGCACTGGAGAGGACCTTTGGGTGTTTTCATGGAAGGGTTTACAGCATCAGATGAAAGCAGGAGCCCCAGACCTGTGTATCTGAGTAAGAAGAGTTCCCCCTAAGATGGCATTGAATCTGTGACTCGACACAGAATGATCTGGCCCAACAGGCTTTGGGCTGTTTGCTTTTCTCAAAAGATCTCTCCACCCACTTGGAATTGATACTTAGAAAGAAAGAAAAATACAATTTCCGTGGGCTTCAGCAGGAAATGCACTCTGAGCTAGGGACAAAAGGGTTAGCCCTGGAATGAGCAATAATAGTCCGGGCACAGTGGCTCATACCTGTAAATCCCAATCTTTTGGGAGGCTGAGGCGGGAGGATCACTTGAGGCCAAGACCTTTGGCAGACACTGGAGCTCTCCACACAGACACATAACAAGACACCCGTCTCTACAAAAAATCAAAAAATAAAAACTAGCTGGGCGTAATGGTGCGCATCTGTAGTTTCAGCTACTTGGGAGGCTGAGATGAGAGGATTGCTTGAGCCTAGGAGAGGCTTCTATTACCTGTCTATCACTGTTATCACTCCACTTCACTCTGGCCTGGGTCTGAAAAGAAGGGCTTGGTGAGGGAAATGGCATCACATTTTTTTTTTGAGTCGGAGTCTCACTCTGTCGCCCAGGCTGGAGTGCAGTGGCACGCTCATGGCCACCCCGGCGTCGACCTGCTGGGCTCCAGCGTGCCTTCCCTCTTAGCCTTCCAAGTAGCCGGAACCATTGGCATGTGCTACCACGCCCAGCCAATTTTTTGTATTTATTGTAGAGATGAGATCTCGCCAAGTTGCGCGGTCTGGTCTCGAACCCGCGGGCTCAGGCAATCCACTCACCTCAGCCTCCCAAAGTGCTGGGATGACAGGCTGAGCCACCCAGCCCAGCCGGCATCACATCTTCTGGTGAGAGAAGGTCCCCAGCCTCAGATCTGAAGGCACTGACGGCCAACTCCATGGACAGAGAAAGGAAGGACCCCAGGGAAGACCCAGCTGTTCCCAGGAGCAAAGACAGCACCAAGATTCCTGCTTTACCCTCCTTTCAGCAAAAAATAAACTGAAACTCCACCTATATGGAAGGAGATGCCATAACCATCCAACGTCAATACCAGGGTGTGTGTGTGTGTGTGTGTGTGTGTGTGTGTGTGTGTGTGTGTATAACTGAACTTCTGGTGACATTTCCCGGAGGGTTAAGTCACTTTATTTTTCACCCGATGAAAGGAACTCCATAGCTGGCGCAATTGGACGAAATCCTAATTCATTCCGAACACCGCAGCCAGCTTCTCAGTTAAGGGGGCTCTCTGGTCCCAAGGAGCAGGAACCATCAGGGGCCCCTTTGGTGTCCCTTCCGCCCCCCGGCCCAGCTAGAGGGAGAGACCCCGGCCGCATGTGTCCTCCCAGAGGCGACAGACTCGGCTTTCTTTGTGCCGCAGCAAGAATGGGCTTGACAGGCTCACACTGTGCTCTTGAGTTGCTGGCCCTGAAATCGGGTCCCAGCAGCCTCCGCCCTTCGCGAGGCTCTTACACATTAGTGGCAGGAAGTGGAGTCCCGATGGGAGGCTGGGAATTTGAACGCCTTCCCATTTCAGCACTTGAGGGGAGGAAGCTGGGCGCAGCAGCGCTCCATGCAGATGGCTACTGCTCGCTTCTGAGCGCCAGCTCTTTGCTCCGCTCCCCTCGCCCGCCTGCCAGCCCGCCTGCCCGCCTCCTCTGGGCTCCTCCTACCCCTCTCCTGGGAGGGAGAAGCCTGCCCGGCCGGGAGCTGTCATGGGCAAACCCACAAAGGCGGACCTGGGGGGAGCAACTTGGAAAGAACTTGTTTTGTTCCCCTGAAGAAACCTGCAGGAAAATCCACACCCACGTTGCCTGGTTTTGAACTGGAGAGCTGCGTGTGCACGTGTGTGTGTGTGTGTGTGTGTGTGTCAGGAGGCGGAGGAGGTGCAAACGACTGGACGGTCTCTGCTTTGATAAGGGAACTGCCAGCTGCGGAAAAGTTAACCAGCAGAAGGGAAGCCGGCCCCGGGAACCCGCAGCCCATCAGTGTTTAAACTGCGTTGTTTTCTGTCCAGATATTTCAATGGAGACAGTTGGAAAACCTGTATTTCAGAGAAAAGAAGTTTTCCGTGGAAGTTCATGACCCACGAAGGTAAGTTTGGAGAGGCCTCTTCTCACGGGAGGGCATGGCTTGGCCCCGTGTGGTATTGATCTTGGGATTTTGTGATCAGTTTGGGGTGGGGGAGAGGGTCCCGGAGGGTGGGGTTCAAAGCCAACAGGGAAGCTTTGTTTTGGATGGCGGGTGTTGATAAATGCAGTGGGTTTGAGCGCGTGTGTGTTTGTGTGTGAAATTAACAATTCCCGGACCCTCTCTTGTGGCGACTTGTGTCTCTTGCTTGTGTGTGTGTGTGTGTGTGTGTGTGTGTGTGTGTGTGTGTGTGTGTGTGTGTCTTACCTGCCTGGGCACTGCAGGGAAGCTTTTGTGGCACTTGGTAACAAACACCCAATTAATCTGGTAACAAACACCCAATTAATCTGGGCAGTAGCCTAAGTCCCCTTAGGAAGCCTTCACCGCAGGAGAGTCTGAAGACCACCCCCTTGTCAGAGCTTCTGAGAGCATTCTGGGCAGGATGGCCAACGCCACAAGAGATCTGTTGCAGTTGTGCTCAATTGTTTTATTGCCGGAGCTGTAGTTTGAGGATGTTAGTCTCGTGGGTGGGTGTGAAGGAAATGCAATTATTTTTCCCTCCACCCCACGTTGTACCCCAGAGAGAACCAGGGCTGTAAAAATCCCTGCTAAGTCCGATGCCAGACAGCGGGGCCGCGGATTGGAATGCAGCGAGCCGGCATGAATGGGGGTCTGGGCAGCTTGTACCCCGTCTTTCCTCTCTTTGTCTGCCGCCAGACCTGGAGTTGGAGACAGCCCATATGCAGCAGCAGAATTCCCTAAAACCAGGCCTGACAACTAAGAATAAATCATTCTCCCTAAGGCTGAAAGCATTTACAGGAAGGTTACCCTGGGAGAGAGTAAAAAGATCAGACTCTCCAGAGAAGCAGAGGTGGATTGGGGGGTGCCGTTGACACCCCAGCCCTGGGCTTGGAAAGAGGACTTGGCACTCCCTCCGCCTCACACATGACTTCTGACACTCAGAACAGCCTGCCCTGCCTCCCCGTGAGCACAAGAATGAGACATACCCCCCTGTGAGAGGGCTCAGACCTGTGCAGTAGTAGCCAGGGTTCCTGCAGCCGGTGATAAGCCTGGTAGGTTAAGTCCTGCTCACTCTGCCGGGTAATCTGCCTGAAACAGCCACTCCTGGTGGAGGGTAATTGCTTATCCCAACCCTGCAGTTGGGCCAGCCACTGGAGAACGATTTAGAGCCTCTGCCTTTCTGCAGTCAGGTGAAGACGGCAGCATTAAGCAGAAGACTTGTTTAGCATTTCCCAGGGTCCTATGATGGGTACCGTGACCCAAATCCCCCTCTTCTTTGGAGCATGGACCCATTGGCCAGAGGGGCAGGGGGAGATGCCAAAAATAATATTACAGCTAAGAAGAAACTCACTGTTCAGTTTCCAGGTGAACTGTGTGGGACCAGATTCTCAGGCATATGAGAGGAGGGAAAACTTAAGTGCAAAAGGAGTGCAATGAATCTCGTCACATTGGGTCAAATGCAGAAAGGTGGTGCTTGACAGAATAAAAATTAGCAACAGGGGCCGGACACAGTGGCTCACGCCTATACCCCCAGCACTTTGGGAGGCCAAGGTGAGAGGATTTCCTGAGCCACAGGTTCAAGACCAGCCTGAGCAACTTGGTGAGACCTCATCTCTACAATAAAAAATAAAAAAATAGCCGGGCATGGTGGTGCATGCTTGTAGTTCCAGTTACTTGGAAGGCTGAGGTGGATCACCTGAGCACAGCAGGTGGCTGTGAGCATGCCACTGCACCAACCTGGGCCACAGAGTGAGACTCTAACTAAAAAAAGAAAAAATTAGGAACAGGATCATCTCAGGGACTGAGCATAGGAGAGAGACAGACCCTTCCCACCTGTGATCAGGTAGGAGCTCGTCAAACTCCCAGGCACCTTGGACAAATCCTTTAACTGTATGTGGGCGCACATACGTTTTCTGTCTTCATCTGTCAACTTATCAGTGGGTAATATTAAATTCCCTTCTCTTTCCCAAGGCCCTGAGATACAGGAAAAATCCTAATCCTCATCCATGACTTCGAAGTGGGTTGTCAGTCTATTAAACAACAATGACCAAGGAAACTTCTATGTCCGGGTGCAGTGTTAGCTGTGGCAGGATATAGAAGAAAGTCAGGGGCAGAGTCCTCTTCTTTAAAGACCTTCCAGCACAGTTGGAGAGGCCGGCAGGAAGAGGAACTTACTCTCACAGAGTGTCTACCACGATCGGGCCCTATTCTAAACACTGCTACCCATTTTCTCACTGGGTCCTCCCTGGGACCCCAGTCTACAGATGCTGCTGTTATTCATGTTCTACATATGGGAAACTGAGGCACAAGAAATAAAGTAACCCGCTCTAGGTTACACATAGCTAGTATGCAGTAGAGTCAGGATTTGAACCCAGGAAGTCTGGCTCCAAAGCTCAGGTGCTTTATCAACATACTGTCCAGACAGCCCAAATGTTGCAGAACATGAATGCTGAATGACAGAGTCACAAAGGCCTGACTGGTCAGAAAAGGAGAGGCTTCCTGGGAAGGAGGGACCCGAGCCACATATGAAGGTGACCGGGATGAAAGCCCTGTGGTGGATCCTCAGGGGGACAGGGATGTCGAGTGGGTGTCCCTCAGCTGGGATAAAGAGGTGAGGGAGAGCCCAGCAGGAGGGAAGAGGGTGGAACCAGGAGGGAGCTGACCATCATCTCTCCTTGGAAGCAACATCCCTGGATAGAATAAAAGTTGGTACCCCAAGTTATCCTAGAGACAGGCAGGGAGAGGAGAGAGAGGCCCAAGGAGCCCAGAGGTGGAATGCAAGTGGACTTCCACGTTGAAGACATTTCTTCCAGACACCCAAGGAAAGGGAATCGTATGAGGTCAGCTACTTGGTTTAGTGGCCGAATCAGAGCTGCAGGCGACAGGGTCGACCTGAACTCAATTCTCCTGTCACAGCCTCAAGGTGCTTTTTTTCCCTCTTTTATTGATACATATCTTACATATCTATGGGGTGCATATGTTTGTTACATACGTGGAATGTGTCATGATCAAGTCAGGGTATTGGGGGCATCCATCCCCTCAAGTATTTATCATTTCTATGTGTTGGGAACAGTTCAAGTCCTTTCTTCTAATAACTTTAAAATGCACATTGTGGTGCTTTTAAAAAAAATTTTTTTTTTTTTGAGACAGGGCCTTCCTCTGACATTCAGGCCAGAGTGCAGTGGTGCAGCCTCAAACTCCTGGCTCAAGTGATCCTCTTACCTCAGCCCCTTTAGTGGCTGGGACTAGTGGCAGCAGCACCACACCCAGCAATTCTGTGTGTGTGTGTGTGTGTGTGTGTGTGTGTGTGTATGTAGAAAGAAGTCTCACTATGTTGCCCAGGCTGGTCTCAAATTCCCGGGCTAAAGTGAATCCTTCCGCCTCAGCCTCCCACAGTGCTGGAATTACAGTGTGAGCTCCATGCCATGCCCATTGTGGTGCTTTTTATTTTGTTTTATTTTTTTTTTTTTGAGTTGGAGTTTCACTCCGTCGCCCAGACTGGAGTGCAGTGGCCGCTCCCGGCCACCGCAGCCTCGACCTGCCGGGCTCCGGCGATCCTTCCGCCTCAGCCTTCCGAGTAGCCGGAATTACAGGCGTGCGCTACCACGCCCAGCTGATTTTTGATTTATTGTAGAGATGAGGTCTCGCTGCCCAGGCGGGTCTCGAACCTGCAGGCTCAGGCAATCCACTCAGCCTCCCAAAGGCATGGGATTGCAGGCTGAGCCACCAAGCCCGGCTTGTGGTGCTTTTTAATGTATCATCCTACTGCTTGCCACTTTGCTTCTTTGGAGCAGGGACAGTGAATCTGATTGGCCTTATGCTGTGATGGAGTTCGGGGACCCGCACGCTAGGAAGGGAGACAGGACTGCAGTAGCAGGAGGGGAAGCGCCAGATACAGTCATCTAATGGCGATTTAGTAAACAGGGAGTCGTTCAGGGCAGAGGCTGCCATCTGAGTTGACACACTGGTCCCTGTTCTTTTGCCTCAGGGCACAGAACACACTGCCAACTTTCTCCTGTACAGCCTTACTTGATTGCTGCTTTGCTTCTGAGGTCCTGTAGATTTGGCAAACATTCCATTTCTAAGGTTTAGGCAAAATGGAAAGGGCTTAAAGGGAAAGATGAGGAGAGGTGATAAATTAATAATAGAAGGCGAGGCGCGGTGGCTCACACCTGTAATCCCAGAACTTTTGGAGACAGAGGCATAGATTGCCTGAACCCAGGGATTCGAGAACAGCCTGGGCAACTTGGCAAGACCTCGTCTCTACAATAAATCAATAAATTATCTGGGTGTGGTGGCGTATGCCTGCAGTCCCAGCTACTTGGAAGGCTGAGGCAGAAGGATCGTCTGAGCCCGAGAGATCGAGGCTGCGGTGTCTGTGAGCATGCCACTGCACTCCAGCCTGGGTGTCAGAGTGAGACTCCAACTCAGTAATAACAACAATAATAATAATAGTAATAAAGCAAGAGAAAAGCTCTCAGAGCATCTGATGGGGATGCTCCCAGAGAGCTATGCAGGCCTGACCAGTCACTTATCTTTCACTCATGGTACCAGAAATGTGGAAGCACCCACCTACAGCTCTCACCACCCTCTGAGATACTTTTTCTCTCTAATTCAGCTTTTCTGGAAAAAAAAAATTATCCCCAGGAGCAGCAGCTGCCATGGAATTCAAAGTATAAGTTCAGGTCACTGTTTCTTTATTAATCCACAGAGGCCCGTGGGGGACCCCACTTTCTCACTGACTCCTGTTCAGTTATTTTTCAACTGTGTGCTCTTTCACACGCTGGTATTTTTTCCTTAACTCTTGTTTGAACCAAAAAGAGGAAAAGCCTACCTAGAATCCATATCATTAACTAACCACCAGATTTGAATTTCCTCTTGTAAGTGAGTATAAACGAGACCCCACTGTTAAATCTTTAGCCTCCCAGGGTAAGTTGATGTGAGAAGCTTTCAATTTTCTTTGAGGGAAAATTTGCCATAAAAATAAAATAAACATGCCACTGTCCCTAAGTCCTGATCACCTTAAGTTTCTCCTAAATTAGCTGTCTTAATCTTGAGAACACACATTATTTTTTCTGACGCCCACAGCAAATATCCCCAATCCCACCCCACCCTCCCATCACCTTGTCTGTTGTCTGTCTCGGGTACACATGCAAATGGGTACTTAGATTTCATTTGCAAAATAATCTGCCTGTCCTCCAACCCAGACTTTGCTGAGAACGTGACCATGTACGTACCTCTTTTTCCCGGCGACTCCATTAGAGCGGCGAATTGTATGGAGAACCAGCATTTCCCATTTTCATGTCTAAATTCTGATTACTTGTCTCCCTCCCGTCCGTATATACTCCATCAAGATTTTTAAAGTGTGTAGAGAGAGTTTAGGGGCATTGCCTGGCTCATTGCCCTCTGCCTTTTCTCTGCCGAGTCTTTAAACTCCCCCAGCCCTCTGCATGTGTTTGAGATCGATCACCAAATCTTCAAGGAACGTGGGTTGGAGTGACATAAGAAGCCCCTGGTTCCCTCGCCATAGCCTGTGGCAATGAGAAAAAACATGTCAGCCAGGCCCGGTGGCTCAGCCTATGATCCCGCGCCTTTGGGAGGATGAGGTGAGTGGATCGCCTGAGCCCACGGGTTCGAGACCTGCCCGGGCAGCGAGACCTCATCTCTACAATAAATCAAAAAATCAGC